CTGACACAGGTCGTCTTAATCTACTTTTGAAACCGCACAATGTTTCCATTGATGCTTGTTCCATTTGCCCACGCAAATTAAACATTTCTCCCAATAATTTGTTATTAAATGAAAGTATCCTACATAAAAAAATAGAACATTCTAGCCTTTTTATTAGGCTGTTGCACATGAAACAGTTATTCTATTACTTTGATAACTGCCAGTATTAACACATTGAATTAGCTTCGTTTAGATTAACCTCAGCTTTCGTTTATTTGACTGATACAAAGTAACGATTCATTCTTATTTAGCAGAGGTATTAAAGTAAACGGACGTTTAGTTTCATAAAATTGCAAATCGATTAGTATAATGCTTCAGAGTTGATTAGACACAGTTCAAGAAAAAAAATAACTGCCTTTAACCAACTCTGAATTACTTTTTTTTCTTGAACTGTCTCTAACCAACTCTGAAGCATTACACTAATCGATTTGCAATTCTATGAAACTAAACGTCCATTCGCGTTAATAACTCTGTTAAAATTGAATCGTTATTCCGTTGCAGTCGACTAAACACAACTATAGGCAGAATTCGATGTGCTAGTATCGGCAGTTTTTCGCGAATATCTCGGAAACTAAGTAACTCCCCCCGTAATATGTATAGGAAAAAGTTGTTCAAAATGTCGAATGTGACAACATATCCAAAACTGATCGCAATCGAAGGGTAGGCAGTTTTTCCGCAGTTTGACTGAAACTTTATTCTAACCAGTTACATCCCTGCCAAAAACGAAAGAAATGATAGAACACACCTCCGACCATCGCTTCCACACGCATCGAAGCACTACACACGAGGCTCGAATCCATTTTATTCAAATACTTTCGTCCCTCACCACGCAATCAACCAAGAAATCGGAAGAAAGCCCTAAAATCCACCATCCAAAGCGACAAGGTAAAGCGATAGATTCGAAGGTGTTTCCATTAAATAACAATATGCGCTAATCTGCGCGCGTCGAGCCGCGAGGATTCCAAAAGAATCCTCGACGAGACGCCACGGGACGACATGCGTGCAGTGCTACCATCCACGCGAAAGCTTTACGCATGGTGATAATTCCATCGATCAAATCCGCCTAGAAAGAAGCGCCGAGAGGAAGACAGAGGCGACGCAGAGGCAGCAGCAGCAGCAGAGCAGACAAAGGCAATCAGCGTCGGCCGGACAAAGAAAGCGGGCGGACAGAGAGGATCGGGCGAAAAAGAGAGGCGAGACAAGATCCTCTAAGAGGGACAGAGAGACCGAGGAGTGTCAACAGCGCGCACGGGTGGACGAATCGGGCATGGTCTGAGATCGATTCGGGACCCGGTGAAATAATCGGCGGATGGCAATCAACCCTTTCGGCGACTATAAAAATTATAAATACATGCATAACAACACAAACAAATTATCCTCCGTGTACCCATTACTGAGAAACGGTCGACGTGGGTGTCATTTAGTTTTTCTTTCTGAAAATACGTTTAATCGTTCGGAATGTTCAACAATAGAGACGCAAATATCGCAGAAGGGTGAAGCTAAAGCAGCGTATAGGGACAGCAGAGTGACCCTGACACGTCGCTACGAGTCGAAAAAAAATGTATCCCGGCAAGCGACGCGTCGTTCAAGCAAGCCTGTGGTCGTTTCCACGAAATACATAAGTACAGTGTTCTTTCCCCGAAACTTGCTACTGGCCAATTACCCGCGATACCCTGTGAACCAAGTTTTTTCTTGCTGGAGAAAGGAACGGTCTACGCGATTAATACCTGGACTGGATCGAAATTTCACTAATAATATTCTGTACGAGTGAACAAGACGACGCACGTGGAAACGAGATTTGAGCGTTGGGCTTTCCTCAGGGATAAAGTGTATATCTTTTGAAGTCATGGCACAGGTGAAGTGGAGGTGACTGATCATGCAAAAGTATAATACAGGGTGGGACAAAAGTAGTATACTCGTATATTATACATTAGTTCCATTAGTTCCTGTACATTGTTACTCCAAACGTTTACCCATATAGGTAACAGAAATTTAACTCCTACCGCACGAATACTTCCGTCTCTCCCTATAATTTTATATTTTTTACAACGTTCCTATATCTGTCCACTCCAAATGTCAAATTTTCTCCCACATACGAGTCTACCACAAGCAAAACTGACTCCACATTCTAGGTTCACTATTAAAACGAATCGTTACCTCCTGTCCGACCAAAACAACAATCACACAAATTCTACAAGCGTAACTTCGTACACACCCAGTATAGAAACGCGCGGACTAGCCGCGTCTACCGACGGTTACATACCTTCTTCCGTTTGCTGTATCTGCGTGTGCCGAACTGTAGGAACTGCATCGCCTTAAAGGCGAACCACTTGGACACATAAACATCGTCCGGTCCGGTCGCGGCGTCCCGGCTGTTCTGTATTTTATGCACCTCCCTCGAGTACTGACATTTCAGATTCGTGATCTTCTTCTCGATTTCAAGCGTGTTGCAGCACAGTATCTCGGCGAGTTCTTGGATCGCACGCTTACGTTTCGCGCGGTCCCGATAACCCCGGGCATTCCAGTCCCATAGGACGCGTCTTTGTTGGTACTCGCGCAGCAGCTCGAGGGTCTTGTCGCGAGTCCACTCCATGGCGAGGCGCGTGTCGTTCGTCTCTGGCTCGTTCCAGACGTCGTAGCTAGACATGGAAGACTCCGTGCCGCGTGGACGTCGCGACGGTCGTCACAGTGCGCGTGTGTCCTCTGTGGTGCCGTAAGTACGTATGTGCGTGTCGTGTGTCTGTTATTTTCTTCCGACGGAATCGAAATCCAGACGACACGACGGGAACACGACGGATACGGACGGACGGAAAACGAACGAAAACGTGTGTAAAACGGCCGGTTGCCGGTGGTCAAGGCGGGCAGGCGGGCGGGTACGGTCTCGTGCGATACCCGTTAATAAATCCTCGACTACACGAGCCGACAACGACGCCGCAGCCGCGAATCGAGCACGCGTTTTAATGATTTTTGCGCGGAGACCCGCCGCGCGCGCTTGGTCGCCTTCCTTTCTTTATTTCCCTTTGCGGAAACCCGGCGGCGAGAGCACGAAGACGGCCGAGTCTGCGCGAACGAGCCTACCCGCCGTTCCACGCCGCATCGTTGAACGTATGAGTGCCAAAGCAGTTTCATCCTTTCGTCGTCCCTCCCTCTCCCCCCCCCCTACTCCACTCTGCACGGACCACACGCTGTCCGGCTCCTTTCCCCCCGTATGCACAGTCCATACACACTCTTCTATTCGCCGGTTCGCTCTCTCCCCTTGTGTATTTCGCATTTCTTCTCACCGCCGGACTCGCTCCCGCTCTCGGTACCTTCTTTGCATTCCCTTCCTCTTTGTTTACCGAACGACCTTGCGCCTCGTTTCGTTCGTTTCTCGTTCCTTTTCACCGGATCCTTTTCTAAGGTTCTTTTCTCTCTTTCTCTCTCTGTTCTTTTGGCTCGAGGTTGCCGCGAATACAGTGACTCGCGGTAATGCTTGTATGGGAATGCGATTGTTGCGAGAAACGTACATTTGCATTTTGGAGTTATATTGTCGATACCGGTGCTGGCATTCGGGGACTAACGATTTGTGTTGGTTATCACGAAGGTGAGACGAGGATCTGTGATTGGTGTAAGTAACCCTTGTTTTCGGTTACAGTGCAAGATCGAAAGTGTCTGAATAGGATTCGTAAACAAGTAATGAGTACTTGGAACATGTAGATGTAAACAGTAATAGACGTACATGTACTAGAGAATTTTTTATATTTGACTTAACCCTTTCAGACCTGAATTTTCTTTTAACCGTGAAAAGAAATTTTTGATTACTGTTTTCCTCTGGAACTCCATCTTTAACAATGCTCTCCTATTTCCTTGTGCGTAACTTTTTTCACTTCATTGTACCCGCCATTTTCACGATGGCACTATGGTTCTTCCGATATTAACACTGTAAATGCACCGATTCACATTTCACATTTCACGCACCCCGAAGACTAATATTTTCCGTTTCAATCACATCATATTAAAATCCACTTTTTTAAATCCTTTCTGCATTGCAGTCACTTAAGAACGCCAGTTTCGTGAGAGCGTTCATGCTGAGGACGCCAATGGGCGTTGAACGAATACGTATTTAAAATAAACACGGCTATAGGATTTCCAGTATTTCCACACACGAATCGTGTACAGCGTTCGAGTCCTATGACTAGCACAGAAAGAGAACAATTATGTTAAAAATACAAAAAATCCGTTTTGCTTTCATATGTAAACACTGATTCGTGCTGTTTATCCGGAATTTTTGTATGCAAAACAAACTTTTCGTGTACATATCGGTTTGAGGCTTAACTGTCATTAAAATCTATTAAATAATAATTAAGTGATTGTATCGATATAATGATAATCGTTAAATCGACTAGTAATGGAGTAAATAAATGAAAATAATGAAATAAATTTCCAAAGTTCATTTGCCAAACTGATTAGCACCACAGAAATTATATTTGAAATTTATTTTAAGTATAAGAAGTCAAGCACCAATCGAGTGATTTGGCACTAAAATTTGATCAGTCACTTTGGCTCGTGAACGCGTCAAATGCGAAAAGGAAAAACGGAAATCACTTTATGCCTCGACTGAATATATTCCACGCGGTACATCGATCTAATTTCACCATAGTACGACCTATCTGATTCGATGGCAATATTTCTTCGGGCGTTCGGCTTGCTTTCACTAAAACAGCATTGTCAGAGCGTGATTGCATGCACTGTACACCAAAGGGGGCCTAAGCGAACGCACGAAATCTCAGATTCGACTTGCACGTGCAATTATTGTAGTCTACGTGCGTGAAACATCGATTTTTATGCGTACGACATTCCATCGGGAACGAAACAATGCCCTGGATTTGCGATTTCGCGAATCAGAATGTGCTATCGCGATTATAGTAGAACCTCGATTACCTGACCCACATAATAAGGAGACAAATTCACTCTGATAAACGGTTTCTTGGGTATTTGGCCTAGAAGATCTACAATTTCGTATACACATGAATAGAAATAGATAAACCAATATCATCTTTGTTCCAATAATCTATATTTAAAAGTATCCAATAATCGAGGTTCTACTGTATCAGTTTATCTCTTATTGTTAGTACAAAAGAAATATATATATACTAGACTCATATAACGTACTTTTACGCAAAGTTTTCTCTGTGTAAAAGATCATTTTTAATGTTGACCTCTTCAGCGATCATTTTTAAGACAGAAGTTTTTTATGCACTAGTAATTATATACTGCTGAAAGCAAGTAGGGGATTATACAAGCCAAACCGAACTCTATTTTCTACAAGCATGGGCGTAGCCAGGGGGCAGGGGGCACTTGCCCCCCCTCCCTCTTGGTCGGAAAAAAGTGATTTTTGCTCCACCCTACAAGAAAAAAATTAGATTTTGCCGCCCCTCCCCCCTCCAAGAATTAGAAAATTTTTGGGTAATATTTATATTGCAGTATAATTTGAAACACAATCAACAGCCTCTATTAACAACACGCATATATTTTCAACGATTTATGACTTTAAAAACAAAATAAAGTGTGTCTAGCTACGTATAGCCTTTTTTACTGTGGCAGTCGATGTGTTAATATTTTTGCTCCTCCCTGACCTGGCTACGCCTATGTCTACAAGTTTCAAAATTTTACTATTTTCAATTAGTTTACTGTTACATATTAGGTGTACCAATAAGTAATACACAATTTTGTGTAAAATAAAAGAAAACTGAAAGTCTGTATTATATCAGTGATAGTCATCCTTAGCTTCCAACATCTTCCGCCATTTTTGAGGAAGAAACTATTGGAAACATGTTATGTATTGAAACTAGGTGTCCAATTTTTATTAAATGTAAATTAAATATAAAACACACATTTACAGTAGTATATTTTACGTTTTAATACGCTTCCCTGAATACTTTCTGCCAGGAAGAGGTGTTAATATCGTAAGGAATTGATGTTAATTTATCAAGCTAACAGCTGAGATAATACTGCACAAAAAAGATGTTAATTTATCAGACTTAAAAATTCTATCGCACTGCTTTTACGTCGTTGACGTAACATCCCTTATTTGCGTCAAGCAATGTATTTTGTTCAGTTTAAATTATACATGAATAATGGCTACATGATGTGACCATTGGTTCTCAATGCCAAAACTAAATGTACACATAATATGTGTCAGTATCGCTGAAGAGGCTGACCAAACATTACACTGAGTCAAATTCGCCATTGCGTACTGAAAAATATACATAAATAATAATTAAATAAAAGTAACAGTAAAAGTATTGAAACCAAATAATAATTATTAATTTTAACAATGGTTCCGAATATTTAATAGAATAATATTAACGACGAAATGACTTAGGCTAATATAAATTTAGAAAAGAAAACCGGAAGTTATAAACGACTCAACCTAGTATTTCAACCGAACAAATAAAATTATCAATTGAATACATGAGATTATCCCAAAAACCTGACCGTTTTTACTAATTTCTTTAATACATTATGTCTTCAATTGAATTATTAATAGATTATTTTAGTCCAGTTAAGTTAAATAGGAGGGATAATGGGAAGTTAACGTACCTGGAAACAAAACAATGTGTCTTCCCGTCACCGGTTGAACCACGTTGCCATCAGCAGCCACCACTCGGAAATCATGACCGGAAATGGACAACCGAACGGGACAGTTGTAAGCATTGGCGTTGATAAGCCGTAATAAATAACGTCCGCCATGATCGACTTTCAAAGTCAATTCTTTGCTCTGAAAGAAAAAAGAAACTGTACTTTAATAAAAAATTCTAGCCATAAACATCTATCCCTAATTATCAACTGTCTATCTTTAATCAAATCTACTCCCGAATAGGTATTATAGAATACTAATACGATTTTGATCATGGGCTTGCCATAAGGGAGCAGGTGGATTGCCTCACCCTACAAAAAAAATTGGATTTTACCCCCCCCCCCTCCCTCTCTTCCCAGAGTTACAAAATTTTTGGGTAATATTTATATGGCAGTATAATTTGAAACACAACCAACAGCCTCTATTAACAACACGTATACATTTTCAACGATTTATGACTTTAAAAACAAAATAAAGTGTGTCTGGCTACGTATAGCCTTTTTCACTGTGGCAGTAAATGTGTTAATATTTTTGCCACATGATTTTGATCATTATTTTTGAAGTTTACGTGAGTTAAAATTATAAACGTTCGATGAGTACAATTGCGGTGAATTTTTTTATATAATTGTAACCATGAAAGTAATATAATAATGGTAAATAACTGCTTCCATTCAGTGTATCGTTACACTTTCATGAATCGAGAAGCAGTTTTTGCGTGGCGACTCTTGTAGTTACATGCATGTGCGTGTTATACAACGTTGCAACGAAGGAAGTTAATGTGCAATTAGTAGGAGTTCTTTAAATAACTATCGAGGCAAATTATGTTTAATAAATGGATCGTTAGGAGATTTGTTGGCGTCGATTCACCGTGACGCTCAACCGACACCTGATGTTTCCGGGGTGAACCGGATGCGGGACTAATTGTAAGTGTTAGTCTGATAATTGTGTCGGTGACTATGAATGTAGCATAAGTCAATTACCCCCTTAAGAGCTCACTAAATTTTCAGAATAAATTCATTTTATACAAATTAAGCACATTGTTATGTTACACCACTTAATTATATTATATAATGTTATACTATGTTTATAAAATTCTATCGAAAACTGTTTTCCAATAAAAAATTCTATGTTTTACAATTACATATTTAACAATATAAAATAATACGTGAATAGTACAAAAGGGAATATCGTATTTTTGTTAAATGTAATATTACGTAGGTGGACCTTAAGGGGTTAAATATTTTGCAGAAATGCTTCCATATTATTGTAATGATCATGATTGAATCGACATGACGCTAAACATGTGATAAGTTTAATTTTTATTAGATTCTTCACTTACATCATTTTCATAATGTCATTTAGGTCATTGGAAATGTATAAATTATTTAATCATGATTAGAAACTGTGGTATCCGATACTCGATCATTATGAAACTGCTTATAGCTGTTACTAAAATATTAAAAATATATTTAGGTAATTAATTTATGAATATTCTAGTCTCCATCGAATAATTTGATTAGACGTCTAATAATTTTATTCATGAATTCATTATTATGCTGAAAGTTAAATAAAAATAAAAATGACTCTTTTAACATACATCAGTAATTCTACAGCATAAGCCGAAATTAACAATATAATCAAAACGGAAGTGTCTTCGTGCACAAAACTAAAGAAAAAAGGCGAGATAATAATTTTTCGTATGGAGCTGTGTTTTAGCAAAAATCGAATGTGAATATTCAACAGTAGATTGCTGATATTTATGCAAATTCGCAGTTCTAATTGCTAGTTTACAAAAATAAAATTTAGACAGCATTTTATTTTCCGTTCTACGTATTTAAAAAACGTTGAATAGTCTTGTAATATTCGAGATAGTACTGAATTTTATTGAAATCTTGGAATACGACTAGCCAATATGTCTGTTCAATGGTGACTATTTCTGCTTGTAATAAAATGTCGCCAACCTGTCCGTTAATCAGTGACTAAATTCACTTGTAATAAAGTATGGCTTATGTGTCTGTGCACTGATGACTATTTCTACTGTTAGTAAAAGGCGGCTCGTATGTCTGTTCACTAATGGCTATTTTTACTTGTACCAGAGCATGGTCAGTGTCTGTCGAATACTAACTGTTTCTACTTTTAATCAAGTATGGTCACGTGTCTCTTCATTAATAACTATTTCTACTTCGAATACAGTGTGTCTTCTACTTCCAACATTTGGACAATATGTCTGTCCAGTACTGGCTATTACTACTTTAGCATACGATCTAACTGATCTGTCTGACTATCACTCACTATTTCTCCTTACATTAAACACTCATGGTTAGACTGAATGTTTACGACAATCCGTAATTTTAGATACCAATTTACATAAATAAAAATTGTATAGAAAATTATATCGTATTAACTAAATTATGCTACTGTATCATAACACGTTGTTACTGTCAATATCGTAAACATTAGCATGAATCAGTGTTTATAGAAATTAACACAAGTACACGTGACTAATAATAAAATTTCCACAAAAACAAAGGTCCATATATAAGTATTAGGACATTCCAGTGGTAGTATAAGTATCGTCCATCAGTTGGACCGGGCGCAGATTATTCGAGTCGCCTGTCATGTTTCGTTCATCGTGACCATAATCCTCTATCACGTTTAATGACAAGCACTAGCCCCCACCCCCCCCTCGTTCTCCCCGCATTATCGGCTAATTAGATAAATCAGTACCTGGCCGTTCAAGAGGAGCTCCGTGGGCGTAGGTGGGTGTAGATGCGAATACCGCGACAGCGGAGTTGGTGGCCTTGATGACAAGAGGAGTATCCTTTCCAGGCTGGGGTCATCCTGTGGTCCTCGAACTGTCAACGACCCGTACACGCCGTCGCCCTGCTGCGAAACTAATAACCCAACTCTTTAAGTCTGTGTGATTCTTTCTTTACTTTTTTTTTTTTTTTGTACGGTTAACGGAGAATGTCAAGGTCGATCATTCTAGCGACCTTAACTCGGGGACTAATGTCAATATTTGTCTTGCTTGAAGACGAACGGTAGGAGACGCTTTAATAAGAGGACAATAAGATTTTGATTTTGACGTTTATCATATTTCAAGAAGTGCGGAAGGAGATACTTTTTCTTCGAGCTCGCGACTAACGATTGGAGGATGATTAAATATTTGGGACTTCGATGACCCTGGGAAGAAGGTGAATTTAATATGTAGACTGCGGAGGTTTATGCAAATTCGAATTTCGAATTCTATACTGGAGGCTTTAATGCGTTAATAATAACACGTAAACAGCGTTAAACATTATTAGAATTTTTCTTTCATTGCATTTTCCAGGTTAAGTGATGCCATTTATGCGTAAACATCCACAGTCTGGTAATAAGGGTAAAAATTGACCCAGATCCGCCATCGAATGGTTAACACGGAATATTGTGTATAATACGGTATTTAACCGTTTTTAACCGTTAATAACAAATTGCTAGGACAGTAATATACTATTAACCCGTTAACGGATTCATAAATCTCTCTAAGATTACCTAAAACTAATAATTTTTTAATATTTACTCTAGACTCATTTCTCATTATTGAAATGACATCTTTTTAACGGGCATTATTCTACTGAATTTCAGTATATATTTATCTATTAAAAATATTAAACTCAAATTTGTTAAATAAAAAATATAAAAAAAATATTAATAAGGGTAAAGAAAAAAATAATGTATAAAATACAAATTTATTTGACTAGATTAATTATATTAATTGAATAAATAATAACTTTTATTGACTAAAAATATATCATCAGTACGTTAAAACTCTCGTATTAGTGATTTAAAGTTGACATAATTTCGTGCTCACGTTGCTTGTCTTGCCAAATGGTACAAACTATTAAATTCCACACAAATTTTGCGAATAATCCACGATTTCGGTAGAACTGATTTGTATCAAATTTATTCTTTAATTACTCAATTATCTTCCGCAACACTACTTAAATTACTTTCTAAATCCACCAGACTTGATTGTGCAATACTATTTATAATAGACATGATCTATTCTTTCTAATGTTTTTCTATTCGATTTTAAAGTTTTATACGTTAATGGAGACTCTCCAACAGATGGCATTACTATACTGGTGAAATTTACCACATCAGATGGATCAATTAAGGTTAAATTGCTACTTGTCGAACTGTTATATCACTATTACTTTCCATTTCTATACGCGACAGTCCAGATGATCCTGGTTCAGTAAATGCAGTTCTAGCCTGTTCCTTACTTTTTTCTCGATATAACTGCACACGACAAATTGTACAAATGAACATTGTCTTAGTAAGAATAGAATGTGAACGACACATCTGTAATGATACTTTTCGAAGTCCTTTTGTACAACGACTATGTCCCTTTTGGTTCAAGGGATTGCAACACCACTGACGCCCCATTTTTGGAAATCGACTCGTAGATTGAAAGACACGCGTGATATGGAAGTTCTCCAAAGACTGAAAACTCGGAAGGACGCGATACCTATAAATATATAGCTTCCTAAAAGTTTATTGCCATCTTGGAGTAATCTTGTATGCCAAAAATGCCTGCAAGATGTTTTAAATCGAAACCAAGTCGTAGTTTATTGCTGTTATTTGGACAGCATGAAGTAGTCCAAAAATACAGTAAAATGGGCATAGAATATATTGGCCAAGAGTGAGATAGTAAAGCTCTTTTGCAGGTATAAATGACCCCACTGAGACTAGCACGAGAACTATCGATATTGTTTTTAGACCTCATTGGAATAATCTGGAGTGGTACCGGTAAGATAAATTATTTTACTTGAAGTGGGATGCACTGCTGTCTTTAACAGCTTACTACGATGTTAATATGAACCACACTACTTTATTGATAAGCTCACTTTATAGAAAACACTTCTACGAATACGGTATTATTTTGTTCGGATTTTTGAAATCGCGACCTCGAGCCGAAATTTGCAACATAAATATTCGTTTATAATTTTCAGTACTGCGAAAATGATTTTTCAATCTGAAGAAAATGTATTCAGGAAAGCTGACCCTTCTCGATTAAAACAAAGAAAGAATCAACTGAATACGATAAATAGTTTCTGAGATATAAATTCATAAGTACAATCCATTTTTATAAAAATTGACAAAAATCGTGAAATTATAACGCCTGTATTTGTTAAACAAACTCGAACTTGAAAAATGATTACTTAAACCGCCCCTAATTCTACGTGGACTATTCTACGTGGTTTATTAGTTTTCCTATTAACAAAAAATGAAAGTGAAATGGAATATCAAACAGATGTGTAATAATTTCTTGTCCAAATATAATGAAAATATTTAACGGGAATAATATTAGAAAGCATAATTAATGCAACTGTTAGTGATACAAAGTTTCTTTATTTAAACAAGCTTAAAAGTGAACGCGCCATTTTTTTTATTGATCTACGTTAATCTTACTTTGCTTGATATTGCACAATAAAAATGGTAGCAATATTATATTTAAATAAACGAAAGAAGTGTTTCCTTTTTAATATTAATTCACATGTAATATTCGAGTTACTTTTTTCATTATTTCGTGATTGTATCTATTCTTTCGAAACGAAAATTTTAGTTTACATAAGACATGACGAATATTACTCAATTTCACTTTCTCGTTTTTACCGTGAATAGTTTCAGATTGTTTGTATACCTCCATTTACGTAAAATGCAAATCAATTTATCAATTCGTATATACAAAATACTGACATCTTGAAAATAGAAACTTTTATTTGAATTTTTGTTAATTTTAACCATAATCAAAACGTATTAATTTATTTAAATGCAAATAATAATGAAATCATACTTTACATTTCTTTTTATTATATATGTATGATTTTTATCTATGTAACTACATTTATAGAAATTATTAATAAAAAGAACGTTAGATATATGTAAGATATTAGAATATTAGATAATGTAACGTTAGATTACACAGTGATGTGAAGTTGAAAATAGAAATTTTTACTTAATACAAAAAATGTTTAATAATAAATTAGAAGTTTATATCCCTTTTTATAAAATATATAATATAACAATGTTAAATAACTACAATGTTAAATAACTTCTCTTTCACAATTCCATACATTTAAGAAAAATGTTTCATAATACCTGGTTATCCATGGAGGTTGCCCGTTACGTATCGTTCTACTTTTGTTTTACGCAACTAGAGAACAAGAGTATTATACTCGAGTGTATAAAAAAGAATAAATCTAAGGACAGATATTTAAGATTGCCACATTTGACGTTTGTTATACGTCAGAACCTCTCTTCGAGCACTGGGTGAAAGAGGGAGGTAGTACGTAACCTAACTTCTACACGGTTTCAACATTATTGATCTACTTTGATTTTGCTTCCCCTGCCGGAAGTAGAAGTCGTTCTATAGCGCGGGAATTTTGTACTGCTTTCATAACGGACCATAGTAAAAAAATGTTAATTTACTTTAAAGCATCGGTTAGTGAATGTAAAATAAAATTAACAACTGTAATAATTTTACTAAACTTCATTAATAAATATAAATACTTCAATTTTCGTGTTCCATTTCGAGATATCATGTATCTGGTCATTAAATAACTACGGTAGTCAAGTGTCGTTTATTATCAGATATAAAGAGTGTCTTGAATTAAAGTTTGATGTATTATTAAAAATGAAATTGTATGTATTAAATGCTGATACTTCAATTGACAAAATAAATAGTAATTCTGGTGGAAAATAGTATTAAACTTGAAACTGCTTGTAATGTTGTTTATACTTTGAATATTTAGTGCTCCTTTCTTCATTATTATTCATACAATTACAGACGAATAATTGTACTAATAGATATCAAAATGAACGATGTTATTAGTTTTGATTAAACTTACGAAATTAAGATTATATTGATTTTGAGATAATCAAACTGTTCATATATTTTTGTACTTTGTTTTAATAATAGTAGGGTGGACGGACCAGTAAATGATCATTATACATAAGAAGGATTAAATCAAGATATTAAAATAAGCAAATGATTAAATATTGATGTCTTTCAATTCCTTGTATCACTTTCAAACCATTTTCCTGCTACTGGCTAGAAATGTTCATTTACTGGTGAAACCAGTATTTTTCCAATTTTCCAAATTGAAACTTGTACGTTATTAAAAGATATAGATTTAAAAAAATCTAATTTTCATGTGTCAAATATTTATTAGTGTTATTATCATTTAAAATTCGACTTTAATATTTACAAAATCTCTTAAGTGTTTATTCATTTGTGTATTTACCCTACTCTATGTTATTTATTTATATTAACTTTGTAGAATTTCAAGAGGCTTTCTTACCTAGATGTGCATGGTAGAAATATGTACCAACACTTTCCGGTTTCAATTTGTATCGGAAGCCGCCAAATGGCAATACTGCGCATTGAGTAACCATCGGAACACCATCCATATGAGCGGACCCTTTTTGTTGCAGTCCATGCCAATGTAAAGATAATTCTTCGGATCCCAGTCGATTATACAAAAGTACTTCGATAGTGTCGCCGTGACAAACCTGAAATTCCAATGGTAATTAAAGAACAACGAGTAAAAAATGTTCATTTTTTTATTTACGAAATTATTGTACTTCGTGATGAAATAATGCCCACCGAATTATTAACAAGAGAAGCCTTTCGTTAATATTTGAACGTTTATATTTTAACAAAGCCAATTTTTTTACGTAGAATTTGAAATTTAGCTTTGCACAAGAGATGTTTGAAGTGTAAGAGTACGGTACGTACTTTAAATTATAAATTTGCATTATTCATTAATTATTGAACTTGTTCTTGATTTGAACAATTTTTAATTAACTTTCCATTTCAAAATTTTACCAATTACATGTAAATAATGAAGTACAGCAAGACGTACCTTGTGTTTATTTTTATTTTCAAAGCAAAATACTCATTCTGCGTTGGTTAGAGGCAGTTAAAGCAAAAAAATCACTGATTCAAGAAAGATATATACTAATTCTGTATTGGTTGGAGACAGTTTAAAAAAAATATATTTTTTCAAATTCCTCACGGAACCACAAAATTACTAAACGAAACCATAAAAAATTTAAATTGTACGAACATTTGCAAGACTTAAGAAACGGACATTCCTAAAATATGTGACATTTAAGTCTTGAGAACATCCGTAGGACTTTCGGGGCGGATGTTTCTAGAACATCCGAAATTTAATTCTTACTGGATGTACGGTGCTATTTGGGCAGGTTTAAACAATTTCCAAAGATTTCTGATTACCTCAATACGAGGACCCGGGCTCTTCCCATTGATTCCCAAATAACGGTTCCTCGGAATCCCTTCATGGCCAATCACCGATTCATCGACGATTTTGGAGCAGTTGCGCTCACTGCAAATACCAAAAACAATCGCAAAATGTATGAAATATGCGAAAAAACTTTATTTCCTTACCATAAATCACATTTAACAAAAGTCTAAACATCGTCTGGAAGTTATGTTTTATTTTTTTACTAAGAGAATAAATTATCGACGCAAAATGTATTGTTCGTTATTCAAACTAAAAACAATAGAATTTTGTAATAACTTGAAACTATATAAATACGTTTAGAACACGTTTGAAATGACTTAAACGTTAGATAAACACGTCTCGAACTTGGCCGCGAACAAGATTGCTGTGATAATTACCCTTCCGTTACAGAAGTCGCGGCATATAATGCTATTATCGAGCTTTATTGTACACAAAACGGTTATACGTATTTGTAGTCGTGAGTGTCAAAACCTGTTGGAAACCGTAAAAATCCAAGATGCACTCTGTGACGAAGCGTGTCAACCGTTACTTCGCGGATTACATTGGACATTATATACATATACATTTACCGTAACACGGAGATTGACCGAGATTCAAACTGGTTCGCCACTGCCAGACAATAATCCACATTTGATTTTTCAATCATATTATTCTTTCATCTTTTATAAAATAAACATTTTTCTATCGTTGGAATATTAGTGTCCAATCGTATGAACAAGAGAAGCGTCATAGTACTGTTTTATAAATAATAACTAAAATATATTTATTTATACCGAGCTGCCGAAAGTAGACGTGGAATCAGTTTTTGTATCACTGGATTTAAAAACGTTATTACTAAGGAATGTTTCGGGGACCATTTATGCACTACTGGTTCTCGTCTCACCTGATAACGGCAGGTAATTCGCTGACGAAGAATTCGTAGCGGCACAGTTTTTTCGAGGATGATTCGTCGGCACATGGGCGCAAACACTCGTGATAATCGCCATCTGATTTAAAGAAAAGAAAAAAAAAACGAGAAGTTAGGTCAGTAATCGAATCCTTACTTTATAGTAACGACTTTAATGATGTAAAATCAACTGATCCCTTTAAAGTTTCACAAATTAATACAGCACAATGAACGATTAAAATAACTTTCACCATAACTTTACAATTTTTGTTCAGAACGATGAATTAAAGGGTGAATCAAGCAAATCACTTTTCATACTGTCAGATCGTGGTTCCCCAAAAATAACAGAATTATTTTTAAATTTTCACTGGCACAGGAAGTAACACTCAGGAGGAATCACTTCAAATGAACTTTCACGAATTCACTTTAAATGATACGAATTTCAAAACTGACTGCTTTTTTTCTTCCGTTTGATGACATATTCATTTTCTCACCCTGTGTCTGAGACGTCGATGCTCCCAGCGAAATTAACGAAACGACAAGAACCAAAAAATTTTCGAACCGCGGCATTGTAACCCAGGTGATTCGGGTTCGGTTGTAGGTCGTCGAACTATGTCGAGCGCAGTGTTATCATCGCGAGTCACGAGCCAACGATGACCCGGGAAGTGGACGGCGCGGCGATGTTACGCGATTCACGATCAAACGACGACTCGATTGAATCCGTCCCGGTTGGTGAAAGCAAGGCCTAGGCTAGTCCTAGTTACGCAAGTTGCGTTCGATGCACATTCAGATTTTTTTCTTTCGTCGGAGGACACTACAACCACGTGGCTACTGTTACCGAATCCAAGAGTGATTCAACAGAAATTGGTAATCGATTTTACAAATGGTGAATAAATATCACACAATGTGTTTCTTTTGGCTTTATTCAACGTACACTCACTGATGAGACTTCCATGTACCTAATTTGACATTACAAAATGTTAGATGGGCACGAATATACAGGTGGATTGCATGTAGAAAAATATTTACAGAGCACTATCAGTAATTGAATATAAAGTCAATTTCCTGTTAACAATTTCTATTTATAATACGTTACACAATTTCTCTAGAAATTTTCGAGATACTTTATCTGCAAAAGTACAGTAGAGTATTATTGCGTTAATAGTGCAAAACGCGTTATTGTAATATTAATCGTTTCAACACTGACCTAGTGAGCTTGTATGCGACTACTACATTGGTATCTTAAGAATGTAACAGTAAAACAGTGATAATAGAGTTTTAACAAACGTAGCAATAAATAAATGCCTATAATTAATTAATTCAAGTTATTTCCATGTTGATTCGTGTATAAAACAAATCTGAACGATTCGGTTCAAAGAACAGTATTTCCTCTTCAAGTGGATATTGCTAAATTAGTTTTGTAACACTTTAAACTACACAGTGGCACTCCAGTCTTTGAGCACGAATATTTTTTCAGATTTTTACATTCATTTACGCCACAGAGGATTTGGGCTGGAGGTTCTCTTCTGTAAACAAGAAATATAACAAAACAGTATGATCGATTATTGGTTTTAATTAAATTGTTCCAAATTTTCAAATAATTTCTACTCACCCTTGTGTAGGCTGCAATGGAAAATCTTCTCCTGGAGGTAACGATATTGAGCTTCTCTCGATTGTTAATCGATACGTAACTAAAGGAACTTGTCTTCTGGAAGGTTTTCCTTTACTAATAACTTTAGAGGCTTTGGATTCTTGTTTCTTCAATAATCTCTCCATTGTTTTTTTCTATGAGAATTCATAGAATATATCGGATTATATCATAATTACATCATAAAGATAACTTGTAAAGAAGAACAGGAAAACTACCTTATCCTTTTCTCTTTTCTCATCAGCAAGTTGCTTTCTTTTTAAAGATTTAAGAGCAGCCTTTTGTATAGCTTCAGCTGTCATAACTTTTTCTTTGTATCCAGTTGGTAAAGACATAAGTTGTTCTACACCTGGATTTGGTTCTGTATCAGTCTTCCTTTCAAACATCGCTCTTTGACGTGCTGTCATTAGTTTTGGATCCTTTGGTTTAATTTTCTTTAATTCATCGTCAACCTAGAAAACAACAAAAAAATTGGTAACTTACAACAAGTAGATATTTAAGCTTAAGAATTATATCTGTTAATTGAGTTTTATCAAAATCTTTCAGATTTATTTACCTCTTCCAGTTTTCCAGACTCTATTGCATCAAGCCATCGTTCCTCTTCACTACTAGTACCACTATCCTTACCTTTATTACCCTTTGGAACTTTTTTCTTTGTTGTGGCTTTTGGTGATGGTGCAGTACTTGAACCCGCAACACTGAGATTAGCTGTTTTTATCACTTTCTCACGAGGCTTTTCTAAACTACAATGTAACATTAATACTATGTTACTTGAATATTCTTAGAACTGTATTTATTTCTCTTGGCCATTAAATTTGTATCTCATGTACCTTTTATCATCATCCTTCTTCATTTTAACTCTAAATGCTTTCTTCTTCTCCATTTCAATAGGAACATCACTAAAACCTTCACCTTCATCGTGCATTGGTTTCTTTTTCTTATGCTTTTTATGTTTGTGTTTTTTATGTCTCTTTTGTGGACATATTTCATTAGTTTCTAAAAACATGAATAGTGTATAAATACGAAAAACATTACAAATTGAATAAAACTAAACACATGTATTCCGATTTTTAAATTTCCCGCAAAATATTTTCCCGTTAGGCGCCATTGTGGTTTTGGCTGCTGATGTTTCTTCGCCGAGTTGACTATCTCAAAATTGTTCAATTAACCCCAGCGACGAAAATCATAAGAAAGAAGAAATTAATAAATTCGACCGTTGTTGTATTAAAAAAATATTAATCGTTCAGTATATAGGGAGTCGTACCTACAGTTATATCTTCATCAGTGCTTATGTCTTTCGTCTTACCCATTATATCGAATAGCTGTGCCGCTTCAACTGTCAAAGTAGCAAAATGTTGAAGTCAGTTGAAGCACAATGTGTCCTATACAGCACTTACAGCAGTACCAGCACCAGCACAGCACCAGTAGTACGGGGAGTACCTTCGTTCTGAGTCGCCACCGCTATTTAAAAGGAAAGGTTACACCATTTGGCGCTTAAAAATTAATTCATTCCAACTTAAAAAATGAAATTTATTTGTTCACATACAAAATTTATTTTAGTAATCTCAGACTGTATATTGAGAAATATTATACATATACTAACGATGGTAAATTACAGAGTGTTGTTAATTATTAATTTATTAATTGGTTATAACTATAGACGATCGAAGTGGATTTCAGAGAAAATATAGAATATACCACTTAGTGAAAGTAATTATAGTTATTAACTATTATTTAATTAAATAATTACAAATGTATCGTAGCGCAACTCACAAACAATACCGTATACTTGCCCCAATTATTAATGAAAACAAATTCAATTAATAATAAACTGTTGATTCTAATCTTCGTTATAAAATTTGTCATTGATTATGATTACATAATTCGAAAGTTATTTTGGTATCAATAATGCATCAAATACAATTATTTAACATTATTTTTATTACACATTTGCAATTTTCACATTACAGTAACATTTATTCATATTTTAATCGCGTATTTAATATATTGTAGAATATTTTAATAAAATAATTTCGGGCAAAAAAAAATCTGTCATTAACATATATAATATATAATTATATTTATGTATTGAGTTTTATTTGTATTTCTATTTTGCTAGTTTATTGTACTTTTGGCACATATAATTCAATCTTTTTCTTCATACTTTATAAAAATATCCTGTATTTCACACAACAGTTATTTCATATATTTAATGGCCCCACTTGTTGTAAATGTATTTTTCTTGACTAAAATTTGAAGAAAAATGTTTTGCAAATCAGTCTTTTTCTAGCACGTATGTAATTTATATAGCACAAATTAACATGTCACAATATTAATGCTACATATAGTTCTATAAGGACTATAGTGTAGTAATGTATTTATTCTAAAATGATACAAAATATAATATTATCATTGTTTGTTTACAAGACTTGTAACAATATTTATACATGGAGTAGGGTCATTCCTATGAAGTGGATCACACATATTAGTTAATTTTTTATATTACAACCATTCAATGTTTTATTTTTGCCTTTTGTGAATTAATAAAGATTTTGGAAAAAATAAAGACAAATGCGAACACCTTGGAGGCAATAGCCTGACAAATATTACTTGATGTTTGAACAATATTATCTTGATTCTTCAGAAGTTAAAACATGTTTTACTGTGTTTAAATTATGAGCTAATTGACTAAAAAAAATATTTAATGAAAATAAGAAGTGCCCATTTAATAAATAAACCATGGTTACCCCATGAATTTTTATGCAAGGTAGGAGTTTCTTGTAAGAAAACAAATAATCAGTACAATTGTTAATTCACTTTTAGCAACAACTAATTTTATTATTTTACATATGAAAATATCTAATTTGAATAAATAATAGTGACAGTTTTATGTGACCATACACAAGACACTAAAATTATGTATACTCAACCGTGAAATATTGTCTTGTATTCAGGAGAATAATTAATTTAGGACATACTGTAGAAACTATCCTACACATTTTGGAATGCACAGAATTTACTAAAAATTGTTATATTATTCATGACGCAGGACCCATGTGCATAATTTTAAGTAACACTGAAGAATCAATTATATTTTTAATTAACCTTTTTTATATCTGACCAATAGTATTTTATGTATTTCTTGTTGGTGTTTACTCTACAATACCTTTTAAGCAGATCAATAGATTTTTTAAATTGAAAAATGGAAACAAAAGCATTGAAATAATATATTATTAATTTATTGACATATGTAAAATTACTTCATAAGAAAGAATATAAATATATCGAATTTATAATAGTACTAGTAGTAATAATAAGTACAATAATAATACTTATAACAGGTAACAATGCAGTTCTACATTGCGTAACTTTTTCTAGAATTCATTATTCTAAGTACCTGCTTAAAAGTTATTGTACAGCATAAAATAGCAGATAATTTCATCAAGTACAGGTTGGCAATTTTGACTTACATCTGACATGAACATTTGGCACATAAATAGTACTCACATTTTAGTTCTCTTAAATATACTTATTTTCATATTTTCAATACGAAAATAAGGAATAAGAAAACATATTCTAAATCAGAATTGTCTGCAAATGATTTCAGGCGTGTGAAATAATTATAATATACAATTATATGCATACAAAAAAATGAAAATGTGATGTGAAACATAACGCCTTAATTTCTACAATAAAATAGGAAGAAAGACATATATTTACATATGAAATGTTCACATATATGTATAGTTCTTTGTATGTTCCCTTTTTTCACACATCCTTATACTGGCTTGCATCTTACGGACGAGAACTTGAATGACGCTAAGTCTTGGATAAGGAATGGTAAAAGGCAGAGTACTACAATGGGCCAGGCTATTAAGGCTGACCACCACCACATCAGATTGTAAAATGTTTTAAAGTACAAAGCATTATAAACATTTCGTTCATTTTTTATTTTTATCGGATAGTTCGATTTCCTGCATATATTAACGATTTTATAATCCGATGTGTAATCAAGAAGTCTATGCATGATGTTAGATATATCGTATTAATTAATAATTGTAAATAGGGCAGAGAGATGTGGGACGACAAAACCAAACGCAGGTCAAAATTGCCGTACTACTAGCGTTCGACTCTGTTCGAACTATCGGAGCCCACAGGGCCGACCGACGCACCGGGCTAAAACTTGGGCCAAAAGGCGTATGGAGCCCAAACTCGAATTGTCAGGGTTTGGAAACCCTGAGACAGCCCGGTGCGTGTAGTCCTAATATGGTGGAAGCCTGCCCAGATAGCCCTGATGTGGAAGGAGTCAACCCTAATAGCTTCGCCCGTTGCAGAATTCTGATAAATGGGGCAAGGTTGGGTCAGTTGGTGTTTTGTTTGTTGGAGCGAAGGCGAGCCAAGCTTGAACGCTCACCCTCTTCTTCGTCTGATGTACAAGGCGGTGCACTACTGCCTGTATCACATGAGGAAGTTGCTTGCATCAGTTCTTGGTCAGGACCATTTCGGTTCTCATATAACAAAATATTCAATGTCTCTTCATAAATTCGGGTCTCTGGAAACTCAACCTGTGCACAATGAATTAAAATTTTACTTTCTCTCATTAGAGTCAATTTGAGTAACATTTTATATCACCATTTAATATTACTTTTGTGTGTTTTTTATCAGTTGTGTATACAATGGAATGGCAACAAACTTCTGCAACTTTACGGCCATGGCCATAAAATGTCCAACAACATATTTCACTGGAGCCAATCACATCTTTAATAAATAGTACTCTACCACTGAATGTGAGGGACATTTTGTCAAACAGTTCTATATTTTTTAACAAATTGTCATCTGATGTACTGTGAACATAAGAGTTTATATTTATTTGTTCTTTGCTTGACTGCATACTGTAATTTGTATGAAATGGATAATATTACATTGTGTATGAGTATTTATTATTGTGCCTATTAATAAGCAACTTCACTACTGGTTTAGTAGTGTTTGTAACTAATACTAGCACTTCTTTTTGAGAAGTAATTAGTGGAACTCTACAAATAGGTTCTGCTTCCCTCTTCTTTCGAAGAAGTGATTGCTCACAAGACTCAACTAATGCACTGATACAATAAAACTTTGCTTCTGCACGTAATTCCGCCATTTCTCTTGTGTTCTCAGGTAATGGGACCGAACCATCTCTTAAGAAATTTAAGATAGTTCCAAAGTGTTTACCACACCTGTCTATTAATATCCACCCTGTAAGTGAGATTCATAAAACTTTAATACGAAGTGACAGTTATAAAAAGATATTACTCTAAAAGTTGATTTAATGATTATATACACTTTTCTAAATAGTAACATTGGTGTGAAGTTCATTTATGTCGATAGTCTTCTGGTAAGTTATTGGATATTTTAGCAGTGTTCTAAATGTGACGGAGTACTAGAATGAACAATACAGCATTAAAATGTAGTAATTATGTTACTTCTTACCTTCAGAGTCTGTGTGAATTTCCATGCGACCATTAAACATATCACGTAACATAGTGTCATGTTTCTGAAGTGTAGCTAAGGTTGAGCTGACGATATATCGAAATGTCAAATACTGTTATTGATTTTATCAAGTGTCAAATTTAAAATATAAGTGTAAAAACGGAGCGTTTCGATTCTGCGGTATATAATGTGAATGATACTGGACAACCAATATGAAGATACTTTTACATAGCATTTATGGGCTTTATCTTACATATTGAAATGTCATTAAATGCTATTATTCACTGATCTTTAATATCTTGCGATTCGATAAGAAAAGCACTTTACCATATCCCTATTTTAGTCAATAACTGGTATAAAAAAAATGAAGCTCGCTCAAGCACGCGTAGGCGCGACTACTCAGAGTCGATCGTTTATTTATTTGAGTAGACGAATAAACATTTGTTAAAATATAGGATTTAGATTGATAATTTATGAAGATTCATAGGAGGACAACAAGCGATTTGAGTAGCAATGACGTCAATTTTTAATCAATAGTTGTTGAAATTTTCCCGTTTGTTTGATTTTTAAGTTCCAACGTTTAACGCTAGATGACGCTAAAATCAACGTTTTTTTTTATACTTCGTTATTTTATTACAAACTACATGATTATAGCGCTGTTTTCAACAGGTTTTGTTACTCGATATTATTGCACTAGAGTTCAGTAAATAATACATCATTTGTAGAATGTATTTGTTATTATAAATTAATTAGATTATTTATATTTTTTCTAGTTTCAACATTTCAAGATGCTTAAGCATTATCGTTATCGATATTGAAATACATGTAAGTATGTACATATATATGTACATACATATTAATTAACCATAATGCTATTGACAACTGTCATTGCATAACATTTACGGATAGGGATACTAATAACTTACAATTTGTCGTTGAAAGAAATGTTTCTTAACAATTAAACCACGAGATAAATATTTTATGTATTGGGATGACATTAATTATATAATTTTAATAATGACTGGAATATGTGATCTACATTTCCCTTGTTATATATTCACATAATCGTACCTAATTAATTATTAATTTACGATTAAAAAGTATTAGTAATTAAAAATTTAGTTTCAAATAAATAATACAGTATATTACCTTCCTAAAGTTGCATTACTTGGTTTTGTCAACAAAATTATAGAGAGTAGTGAATAAAATTCTGAGAATGTCTCATTTGCTAAGAATCAATCCCATTTTCTGTATTCTTCCTCCTCACTTATTCATTATTATTCCTATGGTATGCTGAGGATATTTATAAGGAGGTCCACAAAGCATGATTATAGAAGACTATACTTCAAACATACTTATTAAACACTTATTTTATTATACAGTTCCAATTTCCATATCACAGTAACATTTATTAATATTTTAACCACATAATTAATATATTTTCATCTATTTTATTAACATAATTTGAGACAATAAGAAACTTTGTCAATATAATGTACTATATAATTTAATTCACTTATTAGGAAGAAATAAATATTTATATATTCCATATTGGTATTTTTATTTTGTTTTTCTATTATGCATTTAGCACATATAATTCAGCCATTTCCTTTGTATCAGGTAATCAAGTAAGTTTGTGTGTCTTTTCACGTTAAGATTAAACTGCAAGACTGCACAAACTTATTTGGTTACCTAATATTTAGCAAAAATACCCTGTTCTCCACACAATTATTTCAGATATTTAATGGCCCCACTTGTTGCAATTTATTTTTCTCGAATAAAATGTAAAGAAAAATATTTTGCAAATCAGTCTTTTTCTAGCAAATATGCATGCAAAGATATATAGTAATTTATAAAGCACGAATTAGTATGTCATATAGTTAATGTTATTTAAATATGCTGTAACTATAGTGTAATGTATTTCTCATAAAATAGTACAGAATATAATACTATTATTGTTCGTTTGTAACAGTTACAGCAATATCTATACATAGAGCAGGATTATATTGATTGAGTGGTTCAAACATGTTATTTTATTTTACATAATATTACTATTCAGAACTTTATATTTGTCTTTGGATAAGATATTTTGGTAAATCTGCTTAACTCACAGCTAATATCATGTATGTACATCTCTATTACATACAGTTTCAAAAATGTAGAGAAATGCAGACACCTGGGAAACAGTTCACTGAGAAATATTCTTTTGTTGTTTGAGCAGTATTTACTTAACATTTAAATGAACAGTAGGTGTGTTTGTCTCTGATTTATAAACTAAACGAATAAGAAAAATTATTTAAAAAACATTAAGGAGTACTCATTTCACCCGGATACAAGACAAAATTTGTTGTATATTTTAAAACAACTGTAAAACAGAAACGTTGCTCGCCTGCACAATGTGGCTAGATTAGAAATGTTCGTTGATTTAATAAGTGGACCATGGCTACCCTATGTATTTTGATGGGACGTACTAGATTCCTGAAAGAAAACATAAATAATCAGTACAATTTTTAATTTACTTTTAGCAAGGACTAATTCTATAATTTGACATATGAAAATATGTAACTTGAACAAATGTTAACGCTCGTGTCGGTTTTACCTGACTACAAGGAGGCCGCTAAAACTGTGCTCTACCGTGAGGTTGAAAAATTCAAGCAGCGATAATGTTTTCATTAACATAATATATATTGCATTTAACTTAACTTACATATTACACAATTTTATTAACTGTAGAGGTTTATATTAAATATGAACGATGAACGACAGACACTCATTACCTACAAGTCCAAAATTTTCTTATATAATTATAGGAACTTAAATTTTTTTCTTTTGTTACCAAACCTCATGTTTTTCCATATTGCTATAATGTATACATAAAAATAAAGCGTCTTGTATTCAGGAGAATAGAATATGTAAAATTTTTATTTTTTGAGTTTAGTACTTCACGAAATAATATGAAAACTCCCCTACAATGAAATAACTGTAACTCTGAAACTGCAATACATATGGTCCCTTCATTAAATGTAGGATTTTACACCACGTTAAGCAAAATATGCTAATATCAGTTTATAGTGTTTAGCAACTTATAATATTCGTTTTTTTTTTTAAACTGAATTGCGTGAATAAAGTAAAAAGCATTAATATGAGGATCATTTTGGAATGATACACAGAAATTAATAGAAAGCTCGTGTGCTTGTAAAAATTATTATGTTATTCATGATGTAGGACCTATGTTTATCATTTTGAGTAACACTGAGTAACCAATTATGTTTTGAATTAAAGTTTATTTTATATCTGGTTAATATCATTCTATGCATTCTGTTGTAGGTGTTTACTGGCAGTGTTTACTCTACATCACCTTTTAAGCAGTTCAATAGAATTTTTAAATTGAAAAATGCAAGCAATCACTTTTTTATATTATCAATTTATTGACATATGTAGAATTATTTCGTAAAAACGAATATGAACATGTTGAATTTATAATAATGCTAGGAGTAGTAATAGTAATAAAAATATTGATAATTATGATACTAATAATAATAGTAGTAATAGTAGCTGTAATAATCATAATGTTATAACAGTAATATCTATAATAATAATACTTATAACAGGTAACAATGTAGTCCTATACTGTGCAACTTTTTATACAATTTATTATTCTAAGTAACTGCTTAAAAGTTGTTATAGAGTATAAGATAGTAAATAATTTTATCAATCACAGAATGGCAACTTCGACTTACTTCTCTTTTTACTTCTGATATGAACGTTTGGCACATAAATAGTACTCACATTTTTGTTCTCTTGAAAGTACTTATTTTCAGTTTTTCAATATGAAAATAAGGAATAAGAAAACATATTTTCATATTCTTTTGTATTATTCTATATCTTATTACCTAAGTACGAATTACACCAAGCCGAATTTGTCATTCTGTTGTAAATTAAAGTTGTCTGTAAATGATCCCAGATATGTGAAATAATAAGAATATACACCCATATGTAAAAAAAGTATGAGAGTGTGATGTGAAACTTAGTGATAGCTCATCACACAACCAATCCGAACAACATTCTCCATTCATTTTTTGCACAAAACGGAGAAACAGACACATATGTACATATTAAATGTTCTATACATACATATATATATATATATGTATATACATATATACAAAAATATTTTGTATATGTATGTATATATATGTATATAGAACTTTGAATGTCTCTCCTTTTTCACACATCTTACTTTATATTGACTCGCGTCTTAAGGGCGAGGACTCGAACGACGCTAAGAGTCGTCGGATGGGGATTGGTAAGTGGGATAAGGTGGGGTCAGTTGGTGTTTTGTTTGTTGGAGCGAAGGCGAGCCAAGCCTGAACGCTCACCCTCTTCTTCATCTGATGTACAAGGTGGTGCACCACTGACTGCACCACGTGAGGAAGTTGCTTGCATTAATTCTTGGTCAGGACCATTTCGGTTCTCGTATAACAAAATATTTAATGTCTCTTCATAGATTCTGGCCTCTGGAAACTCAACCTGTGTGCGATGAATTAAAGATTTACTTCCTCTCTTTAGAGTCAATTTGAGCAACACTTTGCATCACCATTTAAAATTACCTTTGTGTGTTTTTTGTCAGTTGTATATACAATGGAGTGGCAACAAACTTCTGCAACTTTACGGCCATGACCATAAAATGTCCAACAACAAATTTCACTGGAGCCAATCACATCTTTAATAAATAGCACTCTACCATTGAATCTAAGGGATATTTTGTCGAATAATTCTATGTTTTTTAACAGATTGTCATCTGACGTACTGCAAAGACAAGGCTTTTTATATTTATTTGTTCTTTGCTTCACTGCATATTGCAATTTCAATGAAACGGATAGTATCACCTTGTGTATGAATATTTATTATTGTGCCTATTAATGAGCAACTTCACTACTGGTTTCGTAGTGCTACTAATTAACACTAACACTTCTTTTTGAGAAGTGATCAGCGGAACTCTACAAATAGGTTCTGCTTCTCTCTCCTTCCTAAGAAGTGCTTGTTCACAAGATTCAATTAATTCACTGATACAATAAAATTTTGCCTCAGCAAGTAGCTCGGCCATTTCTCTTGTGCTTTCAGGTAATGGAATCGAACCATCTCTTAGAAAATTTAAAATTGTACCAAAGTGTTTACCACACCTATCTATTAGTATCCATCCTGTAAATAAAATTGATGCAACTTAAATACCAAACAGTGATTATAAAAACAAAATTATTTGATAGACTTTAAATACCACTTTAAGGAATTCTGTTCTTTTCTAAACGGCAACATAGTTTTTCAAGATAGTTAGGCGTAAGGTTGTCCAATAAAGTATTAAACGTCTTATTAATGTAGGAGTTGTGACAGAAAACTATAATGAACTATATAACACTGAAATTAAATAACTGTGAAACATCTCACCTTCAGAATCTGTGACAATTTCCATGCGACCACTAAACATAGCACGTAACATAGTGTCATGTTTCTGAACGAATCACAACGACGATATATCGAAACGTCAGATATCGATGACAACAAATGTTCAAACGAAAAAGTATACTGATTTTATTTAAATGTCAAATCGAAAATATAACAGAAACAGAATGAAGCGTTGCGACTCTCGAGCGACAACGCGTATGATAAACGATAACCAATACTAAGATACTTTATGTGGCATTTATTAGCCTCATTTTAAATGTTGGAATCTTACTAAGCGACACGATTCACTGGTCTTTTATGTCTTGCGCCTCAATAAAAAAAAAATACACCCTATCGTACCCCCATTTTGGCGAGTGACTAGCGTGACTAGCATGAAGAAACGAAGACTAGTTGGAAACATGCGCATGCGTGACTACCGAGTAGTCGATCGTTTGTTTATTTAAGAAAATGGCTGACTCCTTGGCAAAGTATGGGATTTACATTGATGATTTAAGTAAGATCCGTGTATTAGAACCGGAAGTGGCCAATCAAACGAACAAGCTCAAAGAAGAATGTCAGAATTTCGTTTCGAGTGAGTTTCATGGAAATCATTGTAATGATACAATTATCGCTATATTCGCTTCCCATTTTTATATGCACTACTTCATTAGAATAGTGTTTCTACGAGGCTCGTCACTTGCCTTACCTCGTCATCTCTTATCGGTTGTGGAGTCAATAATAATTGTCGAATATGCATCCGTGCAAAACAAATGCACGCACATGCTTTTCGATAGTAATTACTGCCATCTACATAGGTTGCCGCCTTTAAATGGAATTTTAACTACGTTTCAAATTGAATAGCTCATCCTATAGCGTTACAATTTGACATATTTTATATTACATTGTATTAGATTAAGATTCTAAATAAAAGTATCTGCATTATGTGGTAATTTTGTACATATCAATGTTAGTGTAGACACAAGAAATTATATTTTCAGTAATGCTTTAAAGATAACATATATGCGCTTTTAAATATAGTATTTGCAAACGTCTAAGGTGTGTAATACCTTCTTTTGTTTATTACAAAAGAAACATTCTTTATTTATAAGAAAAACTTATAATATTTCGTAAATTGTTCCATCAATTTTTTAAATATTTTCATTTTTCATTCGATAAAATATTAATTTTTTTCTGTTTAACAGACATTACTGAGTTTCAAACGAGTTCCGAGCAATTTATAGAAATAATAGAGCGTTTAGCAAACGAAGTGGAGAAGGAGAAAATGAAAACGATTGGAACCCGAAATTTACTTCGTTCAATGGCGAAAGAAAGAGATGCTCAAAAGCAACAGATTCAAGTTAATAAAAATCCAAATAACTGGATGTAAAATTGACGTTAATGTATTTTTTTAAATTTACTCTAATTTCATGCAAGAATAATACAATTTTATTTTAATATTAAATTCATATTTAATAGTTTCTGCAGTAACATCGATCTAGTTTTCAAGGTCTTGTTTAAAAAATATATTTTTTATAATAAAAATGATTTAGTAATGAAAATTAGGTACTAATCAACTTAAATTATTTTAATTTTCTATAAACATGAAATTAATAGATAAAAATTAGTTCGTCATTTTAAATTATCTAATACAGTTTAGAGAAATTATATGTTTATTAATTACAGGCACAAGTTATTGAAAAATCTATGGAATTGGAAAGGCTTCGTATACAGTACGATTCTTTAAAAAAAATAGAAATGGAACAGTTAGAAACTATCGAACAATTAACTGTGAATTAATAATTAAGTAAGTCTATGAAATAATTTTGTAATTTCTGACGCGCTGAGGAATACAAGTAAAATCACAAAAGATAATTAGAGTGACATATATTATGAAACAAGATATCTATACATAAAGTTATGACGAAGTTTGCAGTTAAGACGGTATCGGGGTTTAAACCCTTCTTAATAAGACGGCATCGAATGTACATACATATTGTGAAGGTTCTGAACCCCTGAATCAGAAAGGCACGTCAGTTAATTCTGAATGATACTAGGTACTGTTACTAGTATTCATATGCTACTGATCACCTTGACAATATTATTTTTCCCCCTTTCGTAAATGTTACGATTACTTTCTTTATATAATTATAAACGGTATTTCATTACAATTACTGTCTATTAACAGCCGCAATTACATGTGAGCATTGGTAGAAGATGAGTAACGATAAAAACTCTAAGCATTTTTAAAGATACCGCAGTTAATTTACGTTATTTACTGATCTAATAGCGATACTACTTTACGGAACAAAAAATTCGCATTATGTAAATACATAATTGTTGCGGTATCGTATGCTTATGTTACGATGAAATAGTGATACTATGAAATCATGTTCGTGACATAAAAAAGAAGCAGTATTTCTATATTTTACTAATTAAAAATGTTCCTTATTTATGTATCATCACCACGTAAAAAAAGAATCGACCTAGTCACATAAATGTGAAACTATGTAAGCACATAGCGTGGATATATCGATTTTTAGTGAAATAAAGTATGTTTCTTAAAAACAGATAAATAATTTAAATATTTTTTCCCATCCTCCCTTTTTACACATTTCTTATGTTAATTTAATCTACTTTGCAATACATATCCTATCGATTTTCAATGTTTTCTTAATCATTTGCATCTAAATAGTTTACAATCTAATCAATAACTTTATTAATTATCCTTGTTCTTCAACCGAATATCGTATTTATGTTGTTAGAAATTTACAAAACGTTTCTAATGTTGCGTAAAATTTGAAAAGATTTTTAAAGCAGATAGTACCCCCATGGTACAGTGTATAACCCTTTTAACAGTATTTTTAGTACAAGATCACAAATTAGTAACGTGTAATACGGTAACTGTCTTCATTACACGATACAGTTTACACGTTTTGAAATTACTCGCACACATCCATTCAACCACTATACCCAGGGATTCAAAAATAAACTTTATTTCGTAAAAGTAAGAAATGGTATCGTGTTGAATTACAAATATAAATCCTATAGCCTAAATTTATAAATATGTACAATTACATATCTACTATGGATGTTATCTAAAAACTCAAAGAGTATATTTCATAAATGTTGATGGAGCAAATGGGATGATGTAAAATTATAGTTTTTTTTTTAGTGCAAAATCAGAAATGTAGTTATGGAATAGTTATAAAAATGTAAAAAAAAATGTACTTTTGATCTAATCGTTATATCTTACATTATTTGTAAAATCTTACAAGGCTTCGACTTAATCAGCAATTTTAATCTGATGCTATTTATATTTGTCATCTCCTTATTATTACGTTGATAGTTCTTATAAAGAGAAACATCTATAATTTTTTAATTATACAGAATTATGTTCGACTGTCTTACTTATTTTGTACATGTTTTAAAAGTGTTAGACCGTACAGTACACTACCTATTAATTAAGAACTGATGCAATGAAGTAATTTCAAAAGTGAATCGCTTTTAATCTGAAGAAAAACGAAAAGTTCATTTATATTAAACAGAAAAATGCGTTTATGTTAAAAACTTATCATACCACTATATAAAATGCGAAGTATCATCCTCATGTGCTCCAACTTATCAGTCTGCCACCAATAGCCTGCACTAACATACTTCACATGTTATTCGAAGTAACTGTATTGATCGCCATCGTATAACCGTTCGAAATCCACAGTTCTATAGAATTACATAAATTTTACATAAATTCACATTCACTCATCTGTTTCCAGAGATCAGTTTGTAACATTTAACACAAATCTCATATAGCCGCTTCGGTTTTAGGACGTTTGCAGGGTGTCATGTTTTCCTGCGTGACACAGTCATTTTCGTCTGTGGATATTGATGGGGACAATGGTGCCCTCTTAGCAGTACACACTTCTACTGTAGTACTGTTTGTCACAGCATCAGCTGATGGTTTAAATCGAATGATTACAGCCGTCATATTATCGCATCCTGTACCATCCCCACAAGTGTCAGGTGCAAGGCAGTGGTCAAATAGCTGTAATGAATAGTGTATGTTTAGTATTAATTTATACTGGCTACAATTAAAGATAAAACAGAACCGATCGATAGAAGATAATTAAGTAGTTTGTACCTCTTCGCAAATTTTTGAAAGATTGTCGTAATTGTTTGTCAAACGAGCACGGATAAATTGTATGACATCTTGACTTGACATAAAGTTCCAAATACCGTCACAGGCAAGCACCATAAAGTCATCTTTTTCTGGTTCAATTGTGATATGCCTTACATCCGGAAGTGCAGAGATCATTTGTTCTTGTGGTGGTAAATCGACATTCTGTTTGTAGGCATGGTCCCCAAGTGCCCTTGATAAGTTAAGACCACCATTTACTCTACCATCAGCAGTTACTTTACCACCAGCTTTTACTATACGTTCCATTTCAGGTTCATCTTCAGGTTTGTGATCTAAACTAAGTTCTATTGCCTGGCCATCTCTGCATAAAACACAACGAGAGTCTCCAGCATTTGCTACATACAATTCATTGCCCTTTAGTATTGCAACTACTGCAGTGCATCCACTGTCATAACCAGGCTGTACAAATAAATTATTTACTTTACTTGATTTTCAAATTACGTTTACTTGAAGAGTTACTACTTTAATATAATGTTATTATTGTACACTATGTATTGAGCTATAAAACGATTTTAATAACAATTTGATAATACTTTTTAATGCTGCAATTTACAAATGAACCGTACCTCTTCTGTATCCATCATAAGACCCTCACTATCATCGTCGTCATCATCATCATCGTCATCATCAATAGTTCCATCTCCATCTTCGTCTTCTTCATCTTCCTCCTCATCACTCTCATCTTCGTCAACATCTTCTGTGTCATCTTCATCACTAAAACTGTGTAACGGAAATATAACATAAGATGTGTATTTATATAGGTTTACATGTAACGAGGAGTAGTATTTTTGTATCAGTGGTTTCTACCTTTCTGGGACTCCGTCAAATGTTTCATCGTTTTCATCATCATCGTCTTCCTCAGAATCTGCAGTGTCTTTTTTTAGAAGAGTATGGTACAAAGTTACAGGTTGAATTCTTCTTCTACCAGTGCTACTTATTCGTTCCTGCTGTCCTGCATCACCATTTTCCAAAGGTGTACATGAACTACTCGATACATTATCACCCCCACTCTTACTACTATCTGCATCTCCAATTCGTTTTGATTCTGCACCGTTTATTTCTACTTCATTCGCATTTGATTCCACAGATGTAATTTTACCAGGACTCGAAACCTTTTTGTTTACATCTTCAGAACTGTCAGGCATATCCACATTTTTTGCCAATTCCATGTCTGCTGTTGATCCAACTGGTGGTGATGCATGAACATTTCCATTACTAGTTGTTGAATCAAGAACTTGTTCAGCTTCATTGTTTGCGGCACATTCTGATTCTTTTCTTTCCATCGTGCTAGACAATGTGGACCCACATGGTTGGCTAGAACTACTGACATCAGTTTCATTTGTGTTCCATGAAGATGAAGATGATGAGCATCCTGCACCGGATGACGAAGAAGTAGCTTTTTCTCTACCTTTGCGACCACGTAAGTAAGGACTAGCCGAACATGCCAGTTTATTGCATTTTTCATTCTTGAGATTTTTTACATTAGGATTTGATTCTGACTGATACTTTGCCATTACTTCTTCCAATGGCATTGTTGCCTCCATACATAGATTATTAACATTTTCTTCTTCATCTATGTATAATGTATGAAGACAACTTGATTAAATATATTTTTGTATAAAGAAGGTGGAACAAACTAATAATTACAAACTATACTATGTGATGGTATAATGTATATAAGACTGTTTATAGGAATTCATAAGAAAATATATTTGTAGTACAAAAAGAAACGCACCAGATTCATTTAAGTTTTCTTTCTTTTTATCCGATGTGGATGTTCCTGCAAGTTCTTTAAGAATGCTAACTACTTCAGCTTTTTCAAGTGTAGCATCGAAACCCAAGAAAGCATCGATTAGAGCTTGCCTAATATCTCCATTTTTGTATGCCTCTGTTTGTTTAATAAATTCTGGCAGATTACTTGCACAGTATGTTGCCACTTCATGTCCACCGTGGCCATCATACACGGCAAACAAGGAAACATTTTCATCAAAATCTATGCAACAATTGTGTGCATCCTATAAACAAATAATTATATTCTGATTGTACGATAAAATTCAAGTAAATTCCATATTGTTTTAATTTCAATACTTTACGTCCAACATTTTATATGCACTTTGTTTAATTGAAACTTATTGTTTCTGATTTTCTAAACATTCAGAAATTATTCAAATAGATTTTATAAATAAGGTTATTTTTTGGTTAATTGCCATACATGAACATTTTGAATATTCACAAACAAATGTATTTTTACCAAACAAGATACTGTAAACAACAAACCTCTTCAAATTTCGTGGCTAAAACCACGTATGTAATTAAAACTTTATAGACCAATATTAACGTTTATCTCTCTTTTTCATATAAGATATGACTAATACAAAAGTCTAGTTCAGTTAATTAAATAGTCTACCGTGGGTTTACTAATCGTGACAGCTGCATTTTTTCCCCTATTTCGATGGTGTACGACGTACGATAAAAAAACAACATTATAAAATTTACATAAAATATAGCACGAAGTAGAGTCATTTGCATACAACATGAAAATTCGTACGGACTATGGAGACTTGTGTGTTGAAAATGAAGTTTGAAACGTCGAAACAAACGTAGTTAATTTTGCAACAATGCCGTTTATGGTTTTGTTCACACGCGAATCGTTGAAACATTCCCGTTACATTCAACATAGGATTTTCCGTGTCGCCAAATCGAATAGACTGAATTTCGCGCTCCGGGACATAGATAGGTAGATTACGTTTGCGATGGATCAGGATGGATGTCGTAATACCCTGGCGAAACGGTGAACCGGCAAACCGTTCTCTGACCGAAACGAAACTGGGTAACGGTGCACTGGCCGCTCGAGGGTTTTAGCTTACCTCTTGACTAATTCGCCAGCCTTGCATGGAACTCGCGCCGAATGCGACATTCTTGCCTACTTGGTCGCTCGACACTTTCTTTGTAATCGGCTCCGACAAGTATGCACCCATTTTCGTTTAAACCGGCGATCTTTGTCTCGATTTCTTGACGTCCGCGTAATATCACAATATCTCGATGAAAATTACTATTCGCAAGCGCGGCGCACAGTCGTTAACTAGCCTCCATGACCGGTTTGGGTTTCTGTTTTCACTGCGCAACTGGCTCCACCTAGGCCGCCACTTTTCATACATGCGCAATGCGTTTTCGCGCCAAACATTCGACGATTTTTCGTTGCTGTAAAACGGCGTTCTCCGCGTTTCGTAGTAAAACCGTTCCTTTTTAAACGCAATCGCTTCCACGGTTATTTTGCTTCATTGTCTCGATAGCGTCAACATAGAAATAGGTTCACACGGTTCTTCTTAATAATGAAGTATCTAATTGTTGCGCATGTTGTTCTATGGTAGAAACATTTCAAACATCTTGAAAAATTCAATAACGGTTACCATTAACTGACACGACGACAAAGGGGTTAACATAACCAGGATGTGAACAAATTTTGCGAGATTATCAGAAGATTGTGAACACTTATCATATCTAGGTTCGTAAATTTAGTGCAGAAACATTTAATATTGTTATTAATTTTCTTTTCTATTTTTAATCTCATTTTAAGGTACACTGACGTGCAAACTCGATTTCCGCTAGGGGAAAAAGTGGCGTAAGAGAAGGGCCTCCTACCATTTGGTAAATTTGTTTCAAATACTAAAATAAATGTTAAATCGAATGTTAATTTGGCATAAATTGCAATAATTCCCGATACCTACGCCGCTTTTTCCCCTAGAGGAAGCCAAGTTTGCTCGCTGGTGTACATACAGTAAGTGACGAAAATATGCAAACGACTGTATCCTATACCTCCATATCAGTTTTGTATAATTACCATAGACATTGTCTCATTTGTTTCTAAAATTTCTGTATGGTTAATCTATTGTTCAAATACATTCGTTGTTCATTGTGTTATCCAATAGTAAAATAATACGTAGACAATTATTAATTGCTGGTGAGATATTTACAAAGCATTTCGTTAATTACAAGGCAATGCTATATATTATACATATGTATACTAAATGCGATAAAATTACTTATTTTGCACTACACACACAAATTTTATGCTTAAACTTTTCTTTAATATTATATTTGATATTTTCTATATTATATTTAATGATTCTTTTTCATGTTGGGTTTTTATTTTTTTAAATTATTAATTTCAGGAGTTAAATTATTGTGTTATTTGGCATACATTTAATTTGTTGCAGATTGATCTGTTGGTTGTAAATAAGTCGGAGGGGAGTCAAAATGGCGTGCACCCAGAATCTTATATGTACATACTTGCGCTCAGTTTATGTAGGAGTAGATAAGAAGTTATGGTGGGGAGTCCATTGGAGATTGGCAGCCGGTAAGTACGAATTTTTCGCATGGTTTGAATCTTTTTCGATTACGAATGTTTCAGACACTTTTGAGTTTCTAGAAAGTTTATCACAAATTAGATTGATTAGGCAATATGACAGCACGCGACACACAATTTTTTTTATTATATAATTTGTAAATTCAATTTTTTAATAGAATTTTTTATTACTTATAAATTTTTATACGAATAATAAGTAATTGGAGGCATCATTTTTTATTACAATATATGTACTTTGTTCTTGAGGTTAGAAAATTTTGTAGTATTTCAAGATATATAGGGTGAGTCAAGAGGAACTATTAGCTAAAATAACTTATTACGTATATGTATAATACATGACAAGCAAATTGTACTAAATCATTTACAAGTTGAACAAATTTTAAAGTCGTTTTTTTCGAAAACGCAGCCCCGGATGAGAAAATGTTATACCAAAATATTTTCTTCTTTTTTAACGTAAAATCACCCCGTGCCCGGTTATACTACAATTTCCGGCCCACCCTGTACAGTAATTTTTACGACAAATGAGTTTTAATTGGGTTTGATAAATGTATAAAACATTGCCAAATTTATTGTCAACGTTGAATTATAATAATTATTGTGCATCAATTGATACAATCATTTATTTTTTTACCCTTAAGTTGCGTTACAAACTAAAGCAGTAGTAAAATTTTTCACTAGAATTTTGTAATCTTTTATTATTTATGAAACACATTATTAACACACTGTATACAGTGTTTATATATAAACACTTTCATGGTCCCTTAACATTGTTAGAAATCGGTTGTATCGTTCGAATTACAACATAAACCATCGCATGCAATAATGTTTTCATTAGCAGAAAACTTTCTTAGCACAATTGACCGTGTTCTACGAGACAATACAGTGTTTATAATCGAAAATCGATTAAAAAGGTGTTCCACATCTATATGAACATGACCATTTAAAACTTCGTATTTTTTCTATTCTAATCTTCACGTACAAACGAAAATCATTTCAAGCGATGTATACACAAAAGAACAATATACAGTAAAACCTGTTTTTATGCGGTAGATAGGGACCGCATAAAAGAAACCGCACAAAAAAATATTCGGAAATTTCATAAATACTACATATAATAAACAACTTTGTACGACATACTACAGAAATTTTTTTTTATGCGGCGGAGAGGGACCGCATAAAAAAAGTCGCACTTAGAAAATACGTCAATTATTTACGAAATACATGAGAAAGTGCTTCCAAACAAAATAAATAATTAAATTACACATTATAAAAGCATTTAATTTTTCATTGTATACATGGAGAAGTTTTCAAAATGCACATTACATAATTCACTGCTAGTCGTCGTAATCCTTAACGCGCATCTTCTTGTGATGAATTGGTTCACCATCTGCTAGTCTATTTAATATTAGATTTTTTGTTTCTAATGGAATTGTCTTTCTTTTCTCTTTTTTTTGGCTACAATTATTCATTTTAAGGGAGTACATATGTTTAAAAATAAAATGAAAATCATAAAAACTATATACAAATAGGAACAAAAGTAATTAATTTATTTACCTTTAATCTCACTATAAAATGAATCCTTAATCACGTGAGTCGTGGATAAAACTCGGAATACGAAGCGTATGCTGCTAGCGCGTCGAGCGAAAATAATTGAATGTACATTGTCGGGAAACTGTTTAAACCAAATGAACAGAGCGTCTTGAAGTGTATATTTATATGTACACTGATAGAAAACATTACAGTAATGCCAACGCCGTTGAAATTCATATACCGCATAAAAAAAAATCGCACAAAAAAAATCGCACAAAAATAAAATCGCACAAAACAAATCGCATAAAAATAAAATCGCATAAAAAAGGACCGCACAAAAACAGGTTTTACTGTACTTTATTCTCGTAATGTCACCATTACAATGTAAATTATTAGATCCTATTACAAGTATTATTAGATTATATTAAGAGTAGTTAGGTCAGTTGAAAAATAAAATTATGAAAATATGATTTACACAATGTAGCAGTTTATCCACGTTAATACGGAACAATTGTTTTTATCTATTGTACTTCTGAGATACATACTTATGCATTGTATATTATTCGAAGCAGTGATTGTGTCTAAGTACGTTTCAACTATTATGAATGCAAATGATAATAGCTCGCATTCACCGCTATTGCATGCGATCCAGAATAACCTCGTTCTTGGATACCCGGATACCTGCTTCGAATGCATTTTCTTTTAGTAAATCTGTCACGCTCTTCGCGTTTCGTATACTCCGCACTTCCAACTTTCGGGTTCCACTCTTTTTCCCATATAAGATATTAAAAGCGTAGCTTGCTCTTTAATCCCTCGCAAAGGAGAGATAAAATTGAAAACAAAAAATATACATACCAAGGAACAAATGTTCGATAAATACAATTTGCTTCAATTATCGTTATAAATGTGGTCAATTATGGTAAAGACAAGTTTTGGTTGGAATAACAATTTTTTAATGTAAAATTTTTCGGGAAATGGTTTTCCAGAATTTCTTTGTTAATCGTACACTTGAGTACCATTCATCGTCAGCTTCAAATGTTTGTCTATTACTAATCGTTTTTACTTGCGCGAATATTGACGCTACTATGGTGTAATATTATTTGTTTTCTATACGAATAGATGTGTGTTCTGATAGGATAAAGCAAGATCGATTGCAGTATCATCACGGTTTTTTGCAAGTAGAAACAGCGAATAATAGAGACAATTTTTTTATTTGGTTTGAATGAAAATTAAGCTTTAGTGTACAGTTCTAATTTATTTTTTTAATATAGTATTACATGTTTCTTAGATGTACCTGCAGTAATGAACTATCTTTCAGTAAAACTAAAAAAGGATACAAGGTAGCAGGAAAAATTGTTTAGCATTTTCCTCGAAAGATTCGAGAGAGGGAAACACAAAACTTTAGAGTGAGACACTGTGTAAATTTGTCAATATTCCTGCAGCACTTGTTTATCTAAATATTCTTTATTCTACGTTCTTTTTTAACAATGTCGTATTTCCTAAAAGCGACAGGAAGCCAAAGAATTGATTGGAACAATTCCATTTCCGTTCAACCTGTTAACTGATGCAGATGAGTTAACTCTTCATTTTTATGAAACTTTACCTTTCAGTAGACATCACAAATACTTTATTCTTTAGGGACGAAACATTCACATTCATTAAATTCCTTTTAAAGTTTTCACCACGAGTTTGACACGTCATTAATCTTTTGAGACGGATTGTTTTTTTAACGGTGAATTCTATAATACAATAATACGGGCTATAATACATTCAAATATGGAGAAAAAAAAATTGGTCAAGCATAGTTTTGAAAATGGATGTATTTTATTACTATTACTCCTTTACAATGGGATAATATATACATATGTCCAAATAGGTCTTACAAGGGAAGGCACGGAAGTGTCCCCCTCCGATTTTGATGAAACTTCGTATGTCTGTTAAGCAGTCAAAAATAAATAACTAAAACGATGTCGAATGTCGATTGTCAACTTGAGAAACTAGTACATTCAAATGAATGAAAATAGTTTTGTATAGTTAATATTAAGAATCGATACAAAATATCGATAGTTCAATTCAAAGGTATCGATATTCCGTAACAGTGATTCCTCGATGAATGCGACACGAGCAACGACGTTATTCCCATCACTGGGGGAGTCCCCGTGTGGAACCAATCATAACAAAGTAAACAGA